TACACTCTACGAGAACAATTCAATATTTTATCAAAAAGAAGAATGCATAATATCAATATCATCAAGTGTTTCAGAAGAGAGGATTCCGATGAATTTAAAAAAATGGAATTGGGTCTATGAAATCTTGCAAGTTGTTTACGGTACAGTGTTCTCCAGTGTTAAAGTTGAGAGTGACTTCTCTGGATTCACTCTGGTTTATAACCATCTACGTAGTTGCATTTGAAACGATTTCTTAAACTCTATCATGGTGGTAAAAAACAATCTGGATTTATTTGATAAAAAGCAATTTGTTTAAAAAACTATGCATTCATTTTCCTTTAGTTGAACAGTTTTTTTTCTTAGAATAGTTTGAGAGTCAACTTTTTATAATTGAAACTTTTAAGGTTAAACTTTTGTTTGAAAATTACAGAAAATCTTAGTGTTTTTTTTTTCTTTCTTAGCTTTAATTAAAAGAATAACTTAGCGAAACTTCAAATTTAGGGCCCCCCACTAAATTTTCAAAATGGGCCCCACATCTCCCATACAACTTAAAAATTAGCTTGCTGTTAGATGCAGATTGAGAACGAAAGTGGCCCACTCTACCTTGGAAACATGAATAGGGTAAAAAATAAATAAATAGAAAATCGCTCATGTTCTTTCAAAAACATTAAAAGTTATAAAGATTCCATAAGTAGGCACCCATAATGACATACGCAGTAAAAAAACTGATTTGGGACCCTCCCCCTTCCCCCTGGTACGAACCTGTACGCTTTCAAAGACCCCCCTCCCCTCTGCGTACATGCGCTTTACTTTTAAATAATTCATTATTTATAAAGAAATTAAAAAAAAAAATTGTGATTGAAGTCAGAAAAATAATCCTAATTCTGATTTGTTACACACGTGAAATTCAATGTTTAAAAAAAATAAAATTAAGTTTAAGAGAGATATGCATACGTATCAACTGTCTTAAACACCCCCTTCCCCCTTGTACGTGTTCGTACACTTATGGGAAACTCCCCCTCTCCCCATACCTGCCTACATAAAATTAGTGCCTTATAAAAAATGATTATACAGCAATCGCTGAGCGTTTGCTTTAGAACCAATAGACCTAGAGTTCGAAGCAAGCTCTAGGCATATTTCGTATCATCGGTAAGAAAAAAGGTTTGAACTTTCTAATTTAACACTTTTCTGATGTACTCCGTGGCAAAACCATTAGGCTACATATACGGCTTAAATTCGTCTTTCAGTTAAATTCGGTATACTCATATAATCTAAATTCATCTTTCATATAAATTCAAGTTTTAAAAAGTCGACTTCGCCGGTCTCTACTACTACTACTATTAGTGATGATATCCCAAGTAGTGATGATATGCCTGACACATTATATGATAGTGTCACTACAGGAGTCCCGTAATGACACTACGTAATGACACTCCTACGTATTTTACATCATTTCCTGTATTCGTAGTAACACTCCCATAGTAACATACCTACAAAGTGACACTCCCGTAGTCACGTACCTACTCCCGTAGTGATTGTTTTATAAAGCATAATTGATTGCTAAAAAACATCTATCTTGCTCACATATTTTCATTTTATTCGAATATTTCTTAAATGCAGTTGATAGGTATTTAAAGGATTTATGCAATTGATAGTTTCGAATCTCTTGTGGATTTTATATTAATAAATTATATAAGCCCTTGCTCTTTGTTTTTCTAAAGACATAGAGTAAAAATGGGTTAAACTGATCACCGGACAATAAAAATCAAATAACTTTGTTTTATTTTTTTAAAATAAGATAGAAAATACCAAAAAGAAAATTATTTATCATTATTATTATTTTTTTTTTTTATTGTATTTGAAAGTATAGAAATCAAAAGGAAAAAAAAATGATTGCTTTTGGCAGAAATTCTATTAAAACCAATCAATATAAAATACTAACGTAAATTTATATCAATAAAGTTTATTTATATAAATTTTTATAAATTATATATTCTAATATTCTAATAAAATATGACAATATATGTCGATAGAAAATTTCTAAGACATATTTTATGTTGAAAGAAAATATGTCTCAGATATATTTGACAGATAACAACTCTGATGTTAATATCTAAGAAACTCCAATAGAACTTTTTTTTCTTTTTTTTTTTCTATAGAAAAAAAAAAGGTTTTATAGCAATTTCTATAGAAATTAATAGACATTTTATAGAAATTCTATAAAATTTCTATAGAAATTGCTATAATATTTCTATAGTATGTCTATTAATTTTTATAGAAATTGCTAAAATATTTCTATAGAAACTCTATAGAATTTCTATAGAATTTCTATAGAAATTCTAATGGCTATATATTTTAAAAGTTTATAGAAATTCTATTGAACTTTTTTTTCTGAGAATATTAAGGTTGGGTCTGCAACTGACTAAATAATTCTAACTCTCAATCTGCATCTAACAGCAAACATTAAAAAAACAGCTTTTTTTCAAATAGGAAAAAAAATTAACATTTAAACTTTTACTTTCTTTAAAATTAATTAATAGGGCAAGAGTCCTAATAAGTAGCAAATGGTCTTCTATTAAGTTTTTAATAAAAGTTAAATAAAAACTCAATAGAAACTCAATTAAGAAAAAAATTAATAAGCCCATCTCAGATTTTTTTTATAGAAGTTTACAATTTTACAATAAAAAGTTATAAGGTATTGAACATTTGTTAACTCAAAATAAAGGTTTTAAAGATTTTTTATTTTCTACAAATTATTAAAATAATTAGTAACCAAGCACAGTATTCAACAGTTACAGTGTTTGGTAGGAATCACTTGTCGAGTGGTACCGTCAAGTAGGAATTACACAATACAGTGTAATTCCAACTTGAAAATTACAATTCTACAGCAATCAGCACTGGGCGCGAGGTAAAAAATTCCGCCTCCACCTGGCTTATCAACAATACAAACATAATAGTGTAAGTACAACTATTGTCAATTATTTAAAATGCTTAAGTTTTAATTTTTATATTATATTATTTTTATGATTCAATTTCATTTGGTAATGTGTTTTATTATGTAATTTTCTCTTTATTAAATGCTGTCAACATCACTATTATCTTTCAGTAAAAAATATTAAACTTTTTAAACAAATAAAATTATTTTTGAAGTATAGTATCTGCTTGATGTAATATGTCATTAATGACGTCAAAAAAAAAAGGAAATAGAGTAAAGACTTAATTGATAGCGCAAGAAGTTATTAACAATTTTTTAAAACATCTTTAATAAATTTAAAAGTGTTATTGGACGTGTTCAAAGTTCAGTGTTATTATTATTTAGTGTTCAATGACTGCCTTTAATAAAATCTATATTTATTTTAGCTTGGGAAGTGTGAAGTCTGTAACATAGTGTTGTAAATTAAATATTTTAATCAAAAACCCAGGAATATTATATAGTTATAAGTCATATATCTTTTGATGACTTAAAAAACAAAGGTATATGTTATTCAAGTTGTCGTTCATGTTGTTTGTCATTTTTTTTTCATTTAACAAATTTATTTATAACAAACATTCATAATTTAACAAGCATATAACAACAATTATATTATAAGTTGAAGAAATGAAGAGAGTTAAAGGACAAGAAAAAATAGTAAGAAAACTGGATAAAGGGAATAATTGTTAAAGGGAAAAAAAAAGACTTTTTAAACAATAGTAAAAAAAAATAGATCATAGGTAGAAGGACAAAGAAAAAGTTTTTAAAATTGATGCTAGTTTCAAGCAGAAATAAAATTCAATAATTACTTAAGAAATAGCTTATGAAGAAAACCAGCCAGACATCAATAAGTCAAGAGCAATAGCCCTTGGGTGCTGCTTACACAAATACATGATAAAGCTTTTCTGTAATAACAGTTAACAAGTAAGCAGCAGAACAAGAAAATTTAAATCTATATTGAGAGTAAAATGTTGTGCTCAAAGAGATTTTACTGTACTTATTTCACAACAAATAAGTAAGTTAACTCACTTCACAGCTAATAGGTAAGCTGATTTGTAAGCATATGCTCATAGGGGCTGTCCAGAAATGATATCAGTGATTTTTCTCAATTTTTTGACCCCCTTATCCCCTGGTCAATTTTTGGCCAACCCTCTTTTATATATGATATCAGTTTTTGTAGCTCCCCCCACCTATCCTCCTAAAGTAACATTAAAAATATGCATAAACACCATTGATTTTTTTCGGGTTAAATTATACATTTATATAGTAGTAGATCTCAGTAAGTTATATTATAGAACAGTTGATACCTCATAAAATAATAAACAAACTAATCAAAATTTTATTCTATATCTATAATACAAATTCAATCTCTCATCATCTTCCGTTAGTTTGTTAAAGTGATCTTCAATAATAATGACAATTGTATTAGAAATAATGACAAATGATTTTATGTGTTTGCTTTGAAGCACATTTTATAATCTGCTAGGGAGCAAATAACGATTGTTAAATTTATATACAAATTGTTGATATTTGTAAATAATTAGATTTTCAGTCAAATGGTAATACAATAATAAAATGTTGATAAATTTTTAATTTATTTAATATCTCTGGGAAACTTACAACAACTTTCCCACAAAGCAAATATGCCATTTCTATACCACATTGTAGATGTAAATACTTTTAAAATTTGCTTGTATAAACTAATTTTTTTTTTTAATTGACATCTTTTTAGTCTCAAGAGTGTTTTGAATAATTGTCAAACCCCCTTTGACAATTCTTGTGCAACTTTTTTAATACTCCCTCCCCTTATATTTACTGACATCATTTATAAATGGCCCCATAACTGATATTTAAATATTCAGAAATCAAAGGATAACAGTAATTAACAATAATATTTAAGCATCCAATATTCTTTTATAATAATTTTTTTTTAATCAAATTTATATATGTTAAAATTTAAATTTTTCTAGATGTTCTTCTAATTATTAAAGAATAAAAGGCTGGAGAAACTAGCAGCATAATTTATTTAAATATAACAAAAATTTATTACCTTTAAGTTTATCAGAACTATAACCATTTACAACTAGACCATCTAAAATTAAAATCAAAACAGACTACATATCTACAAAAACAAACTTACATTATTAGAAAAAAAATTAAAATGGTCAAATAAAAATGAAAGTTATTTAGCCTTGCATGAAATGTCACTGTTGATGTTATTCTGAAATAGCTATTTGTGGAAGTTTCAGTGTGTACATCAATGAAGGATTTAGGCAGGTACAATATAGATAAAAAGACATTACAGCAAGCTATAATAAAAATTATTTTTTATCTTTTCTTCTTCTTTTTTTTTGTTAACTGCCTGAACTAAACCCAGCATTTTAAAACCTAAAATGTGCAAAATATATCAGTACACATTTATACTTGCTTAAGTGTGTGCACATGTATATAAATTAATAAAAGCAGACTAAAAGCTGCACATAATATGTCATTAATGACATCAAACTGGGTCTAGACTGCCATCTTTTTTTTATGTTTGATATAATACAGCGGTAATTAATAACTTAAAAAATTACAAACACCAAAAAATAGTTAAAAAAAAACTGTAGAATTGTAAAAATCTGTAGAAAATAAAAAAACACCTGAGACATATATAGACTTGATGGTACCAGCCCACTTAAGTAGTTCATTTTCGTTATAACTCTTTGGTTTAAGTTTGTAACACAAACCCAGTAATTGTTTTTCAGAACAAATCACAACTTGTTTTGAAGCAATTTCACCGGTAGATGCTTGAGTCAAGCTAGCCAAATAAGCTTGGAGAGTTGGGTATTTACCGGGCACCCCAAAATACTGAGCAATACAAAATCTTTTATCTCTACAAGTTCATTTTAAAACAGGGATTAAATTAATATATGTATATATAAATATATATATATACATACATATATATATATATATATATATATATATCATATATATACATATATATATATATATATATATATATATATATATATATATATATATATATATATATATATATATATATATATATATATATATGTGTAAATAATATTGTGTAAAAGTTTTTTACTCTTAACAAAATGTCTCAAAACAGACTGAGACATTTTGTTAGGATTAACAAACTTTTCTCAGTCTATTGGTGAGCATCTCATAGATAGTAAAAATTACACAACACTTAAAAATATTTTCAACAAAATAAAATATGATGTGTTTGAGAAATGTATATAATATATGATAAGTATAATGCACATAAACAAATACATAAATTAACGTGTTTAACAGATGCAGCAGAATAAACAAATTAAAAATAATTGTAATAATGAAACTACTATTATATTTTCATGAAATTTAATGTATATATTGTTGCTCTAATTTTGTTTTTGAATTTACAATTAGCAATAGCAATGAAAACTGAACCAAATTTACTCAATACTCAATTTTTGTTTGTATATCATATGAAAAATAACTTTTAGTTATTTTGGATTGAGACCACTCTGGGTCAAACCAGAAATTTTTTAATTGGAAGAGTTTTAAAAGAGCACATTAAAAGCTTAACAAATTTTTATTTAGTGTAACCAATCAAACTCCAAATTACATATAACTTAGTAAGTTAAAATTAACGCAAATTTATTTAAAAATTTTAAATCTTGTTTAGTTGGGGGAAAGAAAATGAACATAAGAAATAAAAAATAATAACAATAAAAAACGAAATTTAGTAGAAGTTTTAATTTTTAGAAGAAAAAGTCCAAGTTACAGTCTTTTGTGAACAAATAAAATTACTTTTTAATATTAACTTTTTATAGAAAGCCTAAATTTATAGATAGCCTGATTCTCCAAAGATTTTTAAAATCTGAATGATTTTTATTCAACAATTTGCTTTCAATTATGAGTAAATCTTATTGAGATATTTATTTAATATACAAAAAGATTTACTTATAAATAAAATTATACATAATAAAATAATATTCATTTGAAAAAAAAAATCAATAATACTTTACTTGCTTATTTAATTAAAATAAACTTTTATTAATTTTTAGTTCAAACTCATTTTTAGTTTATACTTATTTTTAGTGAACTCTACAACCTTAAAACAATTACTTTTCTCAAACACATCATATTTTATTTTGTTGAAAATATTTTTAAATGTTGTGTAACTTTTACTATCTATGAGATGCTCACCAATAGGCTGAGAAAAGTTTGTTACTCCTAACAAAATGTCTCAGTCTATTTTGAGACATTTTGTTAAGAGTAAAAAACTTTTACACAATATTATTTACACAAGCAAATTTATAAAAAATCTTAGATTTAATTTATTTTTTTTAATTTGAAATAAATCTTTGAATTACGAATATGGTTATTATGAAAGAAAAATAAATTTTTATTTTAAAAACTAACAAAAATCTTTATTTCAATCAAAAATTTTATTTTTAATGTTTATAGAGTTATAGGATTTGAACTATTTACATATACTATATATTTAAATATATTTACTATTTTGAGTTTATTATGTTTCAAACATTTTTATTAATACATTAGTCAATAACTTCAACAAAAAATTAATTTTATTCAATTTAATTTTAAATTTAATTTACTCCAAACAAGACTGCAAGCAGCCATTATTAAGTTGGGAGTTACTAAAACAGAAAGAATAGAGTTGAAGAGCAATAAAACAGTTGACAGAAGACTTGAAAAGTTGTAGGTTGTATAAGTCAGGAAAACATGAAGATGAGAGAAAATTCCTAAGCATTGAAGAGGGGAAAAAAAAACTAGACAAATAAAAAATTTTAGAGCATGTAGATACAGTAAAAACATGTAACTATTAGATGCAGATACAGTAAAAACATGCAACTTCCTAGAAAAGAAGATGCTAAATGGCAAATGAAGCAAGAATGAGTTTTAGTTAGAGGAATGCAATTATCATCATTATGATGATACCTCCTTTGAGCAGTAACCATAATAGTATTTGTAAAAAAAAGAAATAAGTACAAACTTATGACAATGGAAGAGTGGCTCAAACTTGGCAGTTAAAGCAGGTTCAACTACACTCGCAATGCTTTTTTGGACCTTGTCTAGATGAGAAAGTGCATCATTAGAAGAACCAGCCCAAAATTATAATAGTATTTCATTCAGCAATAAATAAGAGATTTGTAGCAGTAGAGAATGGAATCAGAATAATGGCAAGCACAATAAAGAGTAGCAAATTAACGGATGCTAACTTAGTAACTGATTATGTATATAGTTTCCATGAGAGGTCAGTAGTGAATGATAACCCAAGAAGTTGTAAAGAAGTAGGATCAGTGAGAGGGTTGCCATTTATTAGAATAAGAATGTCTATGAATCAAAAGATCAAAATCAAAAAAGAAACAGCCAAATTTAAATTATTCTCACAAAGAGCAAGGTAGCAGTAATGCTATCATGGCATAACCATGTTATCAATTTCAACCATGTGATGAATAAAAACTTGTATAAAGTTTTAAAACTAAATCAGATAACAATGCAATGTAAGTTTCTTAATGATAGAGATAAATTCATATTCAAAGTTTTTATTTATACCTCAAATATGAAAACATAAACTGTGCAAACATGAGAAACAAACAAAAAAATATTAAAGAGAGAGTTTAAAGCAAATTAAAAAAAAAAAATTATAAAAGGAAGTAAACTAAAACATAAAATACTATTACGTTATACACATTTAATATTTTGTTTCATTAAAAAACAAAAACTAATTTGTTTTAGATCTTTTTTTTACTTTTCGAAATTAAGATTTCTTTAACTGAAATTAATGACATCCCATATGTATTCCAGTAACTTCCAACTCAAATTAGTGGTTGCTTGCAGCCCTGTTGGAAGCGAAGATGTTTAAAAAAAATGTATTTCCATATTGATGGAAAGCTAAAATAAATATAACATGGAATATATCATACCAGCCCTGGATTAACCTATAAGCGAAATAAGCACAAGCCTGGGGCAGCAGACCAAAATCTTATATCATATGATATTAAATATTAAATACTGCTTTAAACATTCCTATTCAATTCAGGGTATAATGTAAATTATGTAAGGTTTTACCTACATAAACTTGAAAGAACCTTAACAATTAAATTTCTAATGCAATTATCGTCTAGAGTTTAAATTCAAGTAAATGTATGAAAAAAAAAAGTGCAGTCAACCAAGTGGCTTATATAATATAAAAAGGCAAATTGATTAGGTTTTGCAATTTTATTTAATATCTCCTGTCGCTGTAAATCCTGTCAGTTTATAAAAATGTTTGACAAAAGTACTTAAAACTCATTTTATCAAAGTTAAAATTATTTGTTCAAAGATTGCTTTCAACACATTTTGACCACCTTTCTAGCAATTGTGGAAACCAATCAAAGACTCAAATTCAACTTCTTTGTAGTAATCAATGTGCTGCTCAACCAATGCGTTTTCCGTTAATGGAAATAAATGAAAGTCAATATTGGCCAAAGCTGGTTAATACAACATGTTGGGTAGCAGTTCCCAGCCAAGTGCTTTGATTGTATTCTGAACCTGATTCTATTCCTTTGTGTGCAAGTTAATTGTTCTGTAACAAAATTACTTTAAGTGTCTTTTGGCCCATTTTGAATCCATGCATGGTTCAAATTGATCATTTGTTGTCTGCAGCAATCAACATTAACAGTTTCACCAGGTTTTAAAAGCTCATGATACACCACACCTTTTTGTTTTTGTTTTTTTATCTAACTAAACACAGTGCATTACTTTCTTGACAAATTGATCTGGTTTTGAAGTCGATGTAGATGGTTGTCCCAGATTAACCCATGATTTGTTCCATTTAGGTTCTTAAAACAAATTCATTTTTCATTGCCAGTAACTATTAAATTAACAAATAAGTAATAAATAATTTGATGCTAAACTGATTTTCTTTCCTGTCTTTGAAACAAAATTTTAAATTTTTTTCTTTTCATTCTGTTATTCATGTCTTTGAAACAAAATTTTAAATTTTTTTATTTTTATTCTGTCATTCATTTAATACATGTGGCACCCATTTTTCAAACTTCTGTATCTTTCCCATATCTATTAAACGGACTGATATTGTTTATTATGCAACATTTAAGATTTGATTTTGACTTAAATTAACATCTTTATCCAATATTGCTTGCAACTCTTCCACATTCTTAATTTCTCATATCAAAATCATTATTATGAAAAATTTACTTTTGCCGCAAAACTTTCTAAAAAAACTTGATATTTTTAACATGATAAAAAAAAATTGTTTGTTCAATGAATTAACGTATACTTATTATGCTTGACAGATTTTATACCAACCAAACAAAAAAAAATCCTTGTTAAAAAAATTTGTTTGTATTGACACACTTGTATCTTGCTTATCTTTGTCTGTTCACCTAGTAAACGATACCATATAGAATAAGATAAACTTAAGTAAATTACAAGATATACTTGGGCTATAGCTTCATAGCTATAGTCCATTATACTATTAGTTTCCTTCATAGCCCCCTAACCAGAGATTTAGCATATGAAAACCAGTACCAATTCTTAACACCAGAACAAGGCAGTAAAAACAAGATATGCTGCTATCCACAATTCTAGGGTGCCACCCAGAACAAGTTAAGTCAATAAAAAAACCATCCACTGAATAATTTTTTAATTGATGATGCGTAACCTTCAATAATTGTGAACAATTCAGGATTTATTGTATCATTATTACACCAGAATACCATACTATTATTACACCAAATATTAAGCTAAATGATCAAAGAAAAACTAAAAAAAACATTCTGAATATCCCTATGAGGTGTTATCAAGTTAAGATGCATGATAATTTCTGCTAGTACTTAAGATTTTATTCTGTAGAGAAAACTTTTTATTGAATTACAACAGTAGTATTGAATTTTCAAACTAGAATAGAAACAATAATATTAAGAATATTATGCTGACAAACAAAAAATTAAGAAATATTCTTATCTAATTTTGGATTTGGTTTTGGGTTTCAATAAACAAGAAATTTTGATTATTCAGTCTAAAAAACCTCTGAACTTTTTTTTTTAGTAAATAATTATTGTTCATGGTTCTACACATGTTACAAGTTCTGGACAGATATACAAGTTCAGCACATATACAAGTTCTGGACAGATTTCCATTATGAAACTTAATTACAACATTGTCAAATTGTTGAAGCAATTTTTTACAACCAGATGCCCTCCTTGGCGTTAACCTGTTTTGCATACTACTATAGATTACTATCAAAGATTTAGAAGCTAAAAAAAAATTAAGATAAATAAAACTTGGATAAAACATGGTCTTGGTGTAGTGGTAAAACGCTTATCTCACAGGTTTTGATTTAAAACCCCTACCATTTCCCTAGTAGTACCATGCTCAACTTGTTTCTCTGCGCAGCAGCTGTGTTGCCAAGATTAATGCTTCAGAGTTGAGAGATTTATAACCACCATTTTAGGTGCCTCCTCGACTGCTGTGATCTTCATGGCCTTAGGGAGGTTAACTTTTAAAAAAATAATAATAATCTTGAAGCAATTATGTTAGTGTAATTCTTATTAGTACTTTATGTTAGTGTCAATTAAAATCAGAAACAAATAAATTTATTAAAAAATTCAAATAGCTTAACAGATCTTATTAAAAAACTCATAAGTTAACAGAAAAAATTTATCGAAAATAAATTTAAAATAAATAGAACTTATTTAAAGTAAAAAGAATTAAACTTTTATTCGAAAATTGTTATTAAAATTTTATTTACTTACTTATTATTAATTGGGTCCAACAAAAAAAGAAATATTTCTTTATCTGATATCTTTTCTTTTTCTGTAAGTGATAATAGATTTGTAGCTGTACCATTCAATCCAACTGAACCAACAAGACTTGCCATATCTGCTATTAACAGTTGCCGAAGTATCGACAAATCAGCATAAAGATTAAGAAATTCTAAACATCGATCAGAATTTTCTTTTGCTTTGCTAATTTTCTTTTTATCATTGGGACTATCAACAGCACAATCACAATATTTATCAATTTGAAACTTTAGTAGTCCAAAAAAAGTTAAACCCTAGAAAAAATACATAGTGAGATAAAAGAAACATATCAAATGAGAAGAAAAAATGTTAGATTTACAAAGAAAAACGATTACAATCAACAAAAAAATTTACTAGGATTCAAGGATTATGGGCAGGAGCAATGGAATTGAGCAATGGATTTAATAATACAAATTATTATCAAGCACTCTATTTACAAAAACAGATTTTCTACATTTAACTGCAAGTGTCATAAGTTATTGCAATAAACATTATCATTTTCTGCTAAACATTATTTTTTAAAAGCAAAAAAAAAAACTTGATCTTAAGCCAAATTCTTAGCTGTAATATTGTATATTAGGGTATATTAGGAAAAAAAAAAAAAATAAGATTGCATTGATGGAATGAAAGCAAAAAGGGCTTAACATGACAAGTATATTAATCTCTTGCAATGTTTGTATCCTCTTAAAAGTTTTTGGTTTGATAAGATACAATAGAATATATATCTTTTTGTACTGTTATTAAAAAATAAAAAACTTGGTTTTGTACTATATTTTTGTATTTTTATTTTTATTTTTTTTTTACATCTTTACTTCCAAATAGACTGCAAGCAACCGCTATTAGAGTTGGAAGTTAGATAAAGTTTATAAAGATAAAGTTTATAGAGCAAGATAAAGATTGACAGATAACTTAAAATATTGCAAATTATATCAATCAGTAAAAGAAAAAGAATGAAGCAAATTCCAAAAAATTGATGTTCAAGGAAAAATAGGATGAATAACAATTTTTAAAGCATTTAGGAGCAGTCACAGTAAAAGGATGAGACTTAATAGAATAACGAGTAACACAAGAATGAACTTTAGTAGGTGGCGCAAGAGACACCAACTCTTTAGAGCAGTGCTCATTATAGTATTTACAGAAAAGAGAAAGAGAAACAACATTGCGATGATGTGATAATGGTTGGAGGTTGGCTGCAAGAGCAGTCCAAATGTGTTTACAATGCATTTTTTTATCTTATCTAAGAGAGAAAGGGCATCATTAGAAGATTCACCCCAGATATGGCAACAGGATTTCATACAAGAACAGATTTGAGATTTATATAAATAAAGTAAAAAAGTGGTCAGCACAATAAAGAGATAAAACCTCAACAGATGCTAATTTTACAATCTATTTAATATATAAATTCAAAAAAAGATCGGAAGTAAGAATTAATCCTAGAAGATGAAGGGTAGATGACTCATCAAGTACATTACTGTTCATAAATATAGGAAGATCAAAATTACTGCAACTATGATTGGCTGAAAAAAATCAAATATCTGAATTAAAGTTCACCAACCACTTTGAACCCTATGTTGTACCAGAAGTGAGATCCTTTTCAAGCTCAAATGCACCCCCAAGGCAATTAGAGAGTATTGGGTTCTTATCAGCAAACAACGTCACCATTGATGTGAGAATATCTGGAAGATTGTTAATATAAATTGAAAAGAGTATAGGGCCAAGAATTGAAGCTTGAGGAACCCCTAAAGTTACAGGGTATGAAGAAAAGTGTTGTCTATTGAGGACTTGTATACTGCAATTGAAAAGGAAGGGCTTAAAAATCTTAAAAATGTCATCAGATACATTGTAAGAAGAAAGCTTATAGAGAAGACCAGCATGCCAAACTTTATCAAAACCTTTAGAAATTTCAAGAGCAATAGCCTTGACCTTGTCACCTCTATCTAATGCACAATAAAACCTATTGGTTATTACTGTTAGCAAATCAGCTGAAGATTGAGTAGATCGAAATTCATATTGAAGAACAGAAAGTAGATTCAAGATAAGAGGTTAAGTGTTTGTTAATTAAAGACTCAAAAACCTTGCTTATGATAGGAAGAAGGCTAATGGGATGGTAGTTAGACGAGTCAGATTGCTCTCCAGAGTTTGGAATAACAGATGCTGCTTTCCAGCAGGGTGTTTGTTAATTAAAGACTCAAAAACCTTGCTTATGATAGGAAGAAGGCTAATGGGATGGTAGTTAGACGAGTCAGATTGCTCTCCAGAGTTTGGAATAACAGATGCTGCTTTCCAGCAGGGTGGAAAACAAGACTCATAAGCACTTTTTGAATAGTTTTGAAAGGATAGACGACAGCTTTGGAGAACACTTCTGCAAGACTATAACAGGTATGTTGTCCGGGCCACAAGCTGTAGAAGAGTCTAAGCCGAAAATCACTTAAGATACAGAAGCTGGAGTGATACGACTGTCAAGCAATGGATCAACCTGTTTAACGGTTATGTCAGGTAGAATGCAACAAGTGGAATCAAGAGATGATATTGATGAAAAGTTTTTAACAAACAATTCAGCTTTGTGTTTAGGTGAGGTGACAAAGTTTGAACCATACAAAAGAGGTGGAATTACAGACTTACCTATATTATTGATACTATTAAAGATTCTCCAGAAGTCACAAGAGCCTAATATGAGATTTCATGACCTGAGAATAGCAGGTTTTGGCATTAGTAAAAATTTTTTTACAATGGTTCCTAGCAGTAGTACAAAGATGTCTGTTTTTTGGAGAACTGTTTTGCTGATAGATAAGGAAGTAATGGTTTCATTTGGCATTTGCAGGAGCACAATGTGAGGAAAACCATGGGGAAGAGTGAGACTTGACCTGAAATCGTTGAGAAGGAATAAAGGATTCCATGCCAGCCTTAATCCACGAAAATATGTAAGAAACACATTTGTCAACAGGAAGACGAAAGATTTCTACCCAGGGGCCATCACGAAGAAAATCACGGAAAGAGTCCCAGTCAGCTTTAAGGTAGTTGTAAGATGTACGATGATAGGGAAATTCTGATGGTAAAGAAGAGTGAGATAATAGTTTTAGAGAAATCAAAAAAAAATGTCTGAATATTGGAATCACTGCTAATGATTTAGAAGTATCATCAAGCCATTTGTGTGACAAATATAATAATGTAATGCAAGATGATGTTTTGTTCAATCTCTATTATAATGTTCCATTTATTGAAAGCATTTTTTCTAAAGAAATTAAAATTTCTTAGGTTTACCTTTCTAGGCATGTCAATAGAGAAGATCCTTCACTTGAAGATGTTATTTAAGTTTGCCAGGAGATAATGTATGCCATTAGATATATCATTCATACGTTTTATATCATCATCTGTACACATTTGAATGTCGCATTAGCTTATCTAACTGTTTTTGATGGGATCTGATTTTATAGATTTACTGATGTTTCAAAAAATTATTGTAGAATTTTTTAACAAATATTGCCATCTTAAAAATAACCCAAAATGAATGTTTTGAAGTTGTCTTAAATATGGAATATATTTTAAATCTATTATATTATATATAAATATATTATATTTTAACTAATTGAAGTTTTATTTTAAAAAGTAATTTTTCTATAATTACTAAAGATTTTCAAGTTTTTTGCACAATAAATATTTTTACTATATTATATCCTATGAAATGTGGTTGGCGTTTATTATACAACTTTTTTCATTTTGGAGGTCAAGTCATTTATTTGTTACAAAAATCTATCAGTGTGACATCAGAAATGTTATCTAAACATGCATTCATAGTTATATATAACTATGAATGCATATTTAGATAACATCTCAGAGATCATACCGAAATTGCTTTCTGCCAAGGGTTCAGTACATACATCCACAATATTCCAGCCTGTTACCGCAAAGGAGTGTCGCTACATATATATATATATATATATATATATATATATATATATATATATATATATATATATATATATATACATACTATAGCGTATATATATATATATATATATACTATAGCGTATATATATATATATATATATATATATATATATATATATATATATATATACTATAGCGTATATATATATATATATATATATATATATACTATAGCATATATATATATATATATATATATATATATATATATATATATATATATATATATATATACGCTATAGTAGAAATCTATCACAAAAGTATAAGTGTTTTATAAATATCGATTAGATATAATTTATATATATTGATTTGAATAATTAAAAATTGTTGTTATAATCTTCATAGAAAAAAAAAGTTTTAGTTTCAGATTTATTTCAGTTAGAGATATTATAAATTAATTGATAATATTGTAGTAACTAGAATTGCCTACTGTTATTAGATATCTTTACACCAAATATTGATGATATTATAACGAACATGAATAAACCTCTCTTTGCTGAAATAAACTTAAAATCAGTTTAAATAAAAAAATATATAAAGTTTTAACTTTCTTCATCAAAAAAATTGTACTTCAGATACGCGGCATTACCCTATGCTATTTATGCGGATTTGGACTTTCCCTGTTGATATTACTATGACTTCTTATATAGGAAGACATAGCATTGACTAAAAAAAGATTAATAAACAACTATTTAAGCAAGCTGTTATTTAAAATTCAGTTTATAATATCATACACTTTTAAAAAACAAGCTTTTTAAATATTATAACTGCTTTTTTTTGTTTTTGTTTTTGTACAAACTTATTTATAAATAATACAAAATTATGACGTATAGTTGTGTTATAATTATGACATATTATTGTGTTATAATTATGACATATTGTTGTGTCATAATTATGATGTATTGTTGCGTTACAATTATGACATATTGTTGTGTCATAATTATGATGTATTGTTGTGTTATAATTATGGCGTAATGTTGTGTTATAATTTTATTATTAATGCTTCTTAAGGAACTTTTCACTGTGCAATAAACAATACTTTTTACATATATAGTCTAGTAACATTAACATTACAAGCATATGCTTGTAACAAGTATAAAACAATTGCTTGAAAAAAATCGATAAGATCTAGTAAAAAGCTGTATAGAGGAGCAGCTTGCATGGCTCAGGATGTTTTTTTAGAGGAGCTTTTCTTTGCTCTACCATTCATTTATTCTTCCCAAAACCTACCTATTTATTTATTTATCTATCTATCTATCTATCTATCTATCTATCTATCTATCTATCTATCTATCTATCTATCTATCTATCTATCTATCTATCTATCTATCTATCTATCTATCTATCTATCTATCTATCTATCTATCTATCTATCTATCTATCTATCTATCTATCTATCTATCTATCTATCTATCTATCTATATATATATATATATATATATATATATATATATATATATATATATATATATATATATATATATATATATATATATATATATATATATATATATATATATATATATATATATATATATATATATATATATATATATATATATATATATATATATATATATATATATATATATATATAGTGTAGTCGAAAGAGACTTTTATGGTAAAAAAAAGTCTCTTTCGACTAAAATTTTTTTACCTTGTCTCTTAAGCTGTATTTTATTGTCGGCGAAATGTCAAAGCAATTAAATGCGGAAGTACATTAAATTTTATTGTTTTGTAAAAACAACCACAATAATAATGACTAAAAAGTTTTTTTTAATTAGCGGTGTTTTTGTTTTTGTTTTATTAAAAAATATTTTTATAACATGCGTAAGTGTTGTTACATCAACTATCTTATAGCCTGCTGCTACGACTGACAAATAGCCTGACTCACAAGGGAGTGCTGCTACATCGACTGAGGGTTTGGTTAGGGCAGGCAGTCTATCATTTTTAATAAAAAAAATTTTTTAGAAGTTTTTTAACATTTTTTGGTCAGGTTTATTAACGTCCTCTTTAAAACAACAGTTTATGGAAATAACTTTGTGAATACCATGCAAGACTATATATATATATATATATATATATATATATATATATATATATATATATATATATATATATATATATATATATATATATATATATATATATATATATATATATATATATATATATATATATATATATATATATATATATATATATATATATATATATATATATATATATATATATATATATATATATATATATATATAATATATATATATATATATATATATATATATATATATATATATATATATATATATATATAAATATATATATATAAATATATATATATATATATATATATATATATATATATATATATATATATATATATATATATATGTATATATATATATATATATATATATATATATATGTATATATATATATATATATATATATATATATATATATATATATATATATTTAGTTCTGTATATATAAGCTAATAACATTTTGGTTTGACGATTTGACCAAAGCAAATAAATTGTTCTATTTGTTTTAGGGGCTTCCCATGATTTACATGAATAACATTAATAAAGCTAAATCATTGTAAGTTATTCCGAATGAAAATTAAAATTAAAAAAATGATTTAAAGAAACTTAGCATTTTAGTTTGTTGAGTTTCATTTTTGTTATATATAAATTTATTTTTGTTATATATAATTTTATTTTTGTTATATATAAATTTATTTTTGCGTGTTTTAGATTTAGTTAATTTTTTTTTATTTTTTCTTTAAGAATTTTTTTCTTTATTTAAAAAAAGTTTTTTTAAGATAAGTCTAGGTAAAACATGTTAAAAGTTGTTGTCAAATTGTCAAAACAAAATATTATTTGTGAAGTCACAAAATAGCGTGCAAGTGCACACCTTCCTGTGGAACACTGAAAATATGTATTTATGTTATATATAACAAAATGTTATTTGTTTTTCCTAACTTTATAGCATACATTATTTTTAGGAAAAGAAGAAAAAAAAGAACAACGAAGGAAAAGATTGCTTCTTTATCCTTCAGTCAGAGTAGCAACACTTTGTGGCAGCAGGCTATAATTTTATAAATCCAGTGTTATTTTATAATATAGAACAAACCTTGAGGTGTAACAAGAAATTTTCTTTAAATATAATTTTCACCCCACCCTAATTCATATATAGCCAACCATACTGTGTGTATGTATATAGCAATTTTAATTATATGCTTAAAGAAAAAATAAATACAAGCAAATATATCAAATATATCTAAAATACAAACCCTAAAAGCCTGGTTATAAAGTTCAGTTGCTTGATTTTCTGTAATAGAATTTTCTTCTCGAAATTGATTTATAGAATTTCGAATGGAGCTAATTGCCTTTTTCAAACCTTCTGCTTCAGCTCTTAATTCATCTGCGCGAGCACGAGTTAAGGCTTCATCAATTACTCGTTTTAACATTCCTTCTTGACTTTCTTCTGCTTCTGTTGTTAAAATAAAAAGATAATAGTAAGAATTTTTTCAAACAGTTTCTCCCTTTAAACAAAAAATTTTCTTTTTTTTCCTAATACACTATTGTAAAAAGAATTCTTAAGAAATGATTACTTAAGCTTTTTTAAAAAATAATATAATTTTCAAAGGGGAGTTAATGTAATTATTATTTGAGCTCACTTATTTTTATAGTTTTTTAGGAGAAACTTATTTTTGTGCCTACATTTAGAAATCAATTCAGATTTTTTGTTTAATAAATATTCTTGGTTTGTATGCGTAATTATTTCAAATTTTTCTTGTAGATATGAAACAAAACATTTTGGTTTAACGGACATACATGGAAACATAAAAAACTTGAATGGTCTTAAAACATCTTGGTGCGGAAGAATAAAAAGAATACTCGCGAACTCTAAAAACCCACCAAATTAACGAACAAACTAATTCTATTGGTTCAAAAAATACACTGACTAAGCAAAATAAAGTTCTAGAGTATTCTGTTAAAATGCTTTATAAATTGTATTATTTACGATTTGTTACGTTATGAGATTTCTAACATAGATTGTTTTAAGATATAGATATATAGATCATAGATATATATATATATATATATATATGCGGTAGTGGTGTAGTGGTAGAGCGCTCGCTTCATAAGCAAGAGGTTTCGAGTTCGATCCCCACCACACCCCTGGTAGTACCGCGCTCAACTTGTTTCTCCGCACAGCGGCCTTGTTCATCAAGGTTCGTGTTTCAGAGTTTTAGAGTTGAGAAAGGGTTATAACCACAATTAAGTAGCCTCCTCGTCTGTAGTGGCCTTCTCGGCCTTGGGGAGGTGAAATAACAAAAAAAAAAAAAAAAAAAAAAATCTTTATATCTTTATCTTAGAGCATAGATCGCTTCTTGGCCTAATGGCTAAGATCAAGTGTAGTATCTGTTCTTATTTTGGCTCTGTTCTTATTTTGGCTCTGTTCTTATTTTGGACCATCTCTTAATTGGTTACAGTAATGTTAGAAAGCAGAAACTGCACAAGATGAAAACAGTGACAGTCAATACAGGTTCTTGGCGTAGTCGCTTTTTCAGTGTCTCCTTCTCCAGATGTTAAATGGGGGTAAACCCTTGAGTGGGCGCTGCTCAGTTTTGGCTGAGTGGCAACTAATAAACCCTTAAGTGGGCCATATGCAAGTTTTGGCTCCCTAATAAAGCCGCCTTCTAGGGCCCAGTGCACAGTGGGAAATCACATGGCTAAAAATCAAAAAAGTGACTTAGTTCAATCATTATGTCTGATAGTGGGTTTTGTTACTAATACCCTCACTAAGAATTTTCCAATTGATGAAATTCTAAATGTAACAGGCTCAACAGTAGTGGCTTCTTGTTAGGTTTTTAATGAATTTTTATAAAATCTCTCTAGATGCTGGATTTTAGTAATTACTATTTTTTTAATATATAGATCATTGAAAAATTGAGAATATACACATCATTGGAAAGGTTAGAGTATAGGCTGTTAAAAACTAAAAATAATAAATATCTTGAAAAAGTTGGTATTACAATTTTTAGAATTAAAAGTAAAAATTTCATCACAAAAATACTAAATTTTAACTTTGATGAAGAATTAAAAAATTGTTCCGATTGGTCCCTTTTCCATATTTTGATATTTTTTAGTCTATAGTGTTTACTAACTACCCTGAGAAGTGTAGCTGCGATCATCCGCGATCTTGAGCGCTAAATAATTTTGAAAAATTGATGTTTTTTTAATAAAGATAATTTTTTTAAACAAATAAAAAACTTCTTTAAATAAACAATTTTTTTTCATTCATTAAAAAAAAAAACTTTAAGGCATGAAAGACCAAAGTAAATTTGTTTTTGTGTTGTTATTGAAAGGAAAAAATTTATTTTTTATTTTAATTTCATGAGTTTATGGTTTTAAAATACATGATTAATTTAAGAAAAAATAATTTTAAAGTGCATTTTTAATGTCCCACTAATCGACCAAAAACCACATGAATTTCTAAATGTTGTTAACAAATTTATTTTTACTCTGTAAGTCTAATGTTGTGAACTAAAATCATGGAGGAAACCAATTTAATGTTTATATAATGTTATATTATGTTTTCAGGTTTCGAAATATACTTTTGAAAATGTAAATAATGGGTTTAAATACATTGTTATTAGGATTCAAGTCAGAGAAGACAAAACAAATGTATTAAGAAAGAGATTAAAACTAACTCTTGCAAAGTATTTTGCACTATGGCATGCATCGTATCAAAAAAAAAGAAAATCTAGATAGTAAAAATTACTGAAACAAAGCCCAAAGTTGAACTACAGAATCTTTTGGATCGCACATCCAAGTGGCTTGCAAAACTACAGGAAAAGAAAACTTTAAATAATTGGGTTGTAAACTTAATATGATCATAACTTTCAGAAAAAAAAAAAGATTATTTGATGAAAGTTGAAACCTGTCAACAAATTTAAGTTTAGTATAAGATAGCAGCTAAAATCTTTTTTTGGACTCATTGCCCTCATATTTAGGTGGGAGAGGAGATTACTTTTTGGGGTATTTTTGATCTCGGGCTTCAATTACAGCAATTTTCTTGCAAACCGTTATACTTTGATTTAAGCATGAACATAGCAAGTTTTTGGCCGTGGAAAACCATCCATTATTTAAACAATGTTTAAAAGTATCACATATAAAAAAACCAATTGGTGTGCCAGTGATTAAGTGGATTTCCCCAGCCCCCTTGATGCTCCTATAAGCAAGCTAACCACAAAAATAAAAATTATTATGTCAATTCTCTATTTTACTCAAATAAAGCTTAACATCCACATAAATACAACAATTATATTTTTGGCCACCTATTTCAATGGAATGTTCCAACTGTGCAGTGTAAGTCTGGTTTCAGCTTCAGGTGTCTAGTAGGTCGGTAAAAAAAAAAATAAATTGTTTTAAGAATATATTATCAATTCTATGGCTCATTCTTGGAGCCACATCCGCATAGCCATAAATCTTATAAACTATTATTATTTGTTTATATAAATAAATGTTTTAAATATATATTATTTAAATTGTCAAAATTTTGAAAGTTAATTATAAATTGTAGTTTTTATTAGTAAATACTTATTTAAAGAGTATGTATTTTTTATGTAAATGTAATTTTGTGTATCTGTTTTTTATCTATTTAATTTGTTGGCAAAGACTTACAAAAATAATTGCGTTTTCAATGAAGTTATTAATAATCATTAAAGTTAATAAAACTAATTATGTAGCAAACATATAAGAAGTTTCTGGTTATTAAACACTAACTATGCATACAAAGTAACTTGCGGATAAACAAGCACCGCACCTGAGGTCACGACAGAACATAAATATATATAGCAAGTTATTAGATATAAAGAAAAGTTTCTAGATATTGGGTCACTAAATCTAACTATTTTCGCTTAAGTTGCCATTCTTAAAAACTCGTTATACTTTTTTCTGCTTTAAATACTAATTAAAATTAAAAAGCCCACTCACTAAACATCATCAGCGATATTATGAAGCAGTTTAGCTTCCTCATCATAAAAGTATTTTAAACTTTTTTAGTTGATTTCTATCTAGTAAATTTAATTTCTATAGTAAATGAATGATTTAATTATTTCATTTATTTATCTTACTAAGAAGAATTGTTTCAAATATGTTAAACTTTTCAAACTACGCGAAACATAAAATAGGTACTAAACAAATTAACTTTTTTATTTATAAAATAATTTAGCTTACATAAAACTAAAACTTGCAAACTTCAATAAATAAAGAACATTTTTAAACAAACATAAGATGTAACTTTATATGAAAAATGTCGCTTAATTTTATGAAAAAATTATAAAAGAGCGATGTTTCAAAAACATTTGTTCTAAACATAATTTATTTTGCTTTAAGTTTTTTTGCATTAAAAGATATTTTATTTTCCTGATTTTTATTTTGTAATTGTCTCTCATTGGTCCAATTATTCTTTTGCGCATTTTTTTTTTTTTGCTTTTTGAAATGTTCTTGAAACGACTGAAATTCTGGCCAGCTTTTTACAACTAAATATTATTTCCGTGGTCAGCAATGGAGAGCGATCGCTCCCGCTTCTGAACCAAGCATGCCATTGTTGTAAGGTTGCGCCTCTTTCTCTTTTCTACAAATACTGCTCTGGTTGCAGCTCAAAGGACCTATTATCTCTAGTTCCATCAACAAAATCCTCATTTGACTCGTCATTCATTAAAGTCTTTTTACTGTCCCTGCATGCTCTAAAAACTTTTATTTGTCAAGTTTTTTTTCTTTAAATTCATCTTTTGAAATGTTCTGCCAACTCCATATTTTCCTGACTCATACAACTTACAATTTTTTAAGTCTCTTGTCAACAATTTTCTTGCTCTTTAACTTTATTCTTTGTTTTCTAGTAATTCCAAACTTAACAGTAATTGTTTGTAGCCTTGTTGGGAGTAGAGCAAAATTAAAAAAAAAAATTCATTTGTAACTTAAAAATAAGTTTATTTTGTAGAGTATTTTCAAGTGTAACATTTAGTAAATCAAAAGGAAGACACCATCAATATTAATTTGTCAATTCATATATGATTTATACTATGAAGCAAACTTCAGTATTTGATTTTAATTTTGTAAAAACGCTTAATTTTTCATTATCTTTGAAGTTTTTTTTTCCGTTGTTAAGAGTATTTTAGGAAAATATTTCAGATATTGATCTAGTATATTTGTTATGATTAAACTTATTTTTTATGTAGAATTGTTAGAGCTTTAGGTATTTTTGTTTAAGACATTTTTTTAAAAATTAAATATATAAATTATATATTTAAATTAAATATATAAATTATATATTTAAATTAAATATATAAATTATATATATTTAATTTAAAATTAAATATTGCAACTAAGATTAAGTATGAACCTTAATAGTTTTTTATCAAATGGAAAATTATGAACAATATATTTAAAAAAATAAAAAAATAAACTTATTTTAAATTTATAACATACTTTTCATTTTCTTAATTACTTAACCTTTTATTTAGTCATCTCTAATTGGTAGGATTTTATATTTTATTTAAAATATTAATGTAAATTGTTTCTTATATTCATTTATTTGTTTTAATAACTTTGTTGTCTCTAAATGTTAGGGTTGCTTTATTAATTTCATTACTATTTCAGGTATGCCTCTTTATTGTTTATAATGAAAAATTGGTTGTGTAATTATATTACTTAGGCATTTAAATCTTAAAGCTGACATTGGTACTTAAATGGAATAAAACTTCAAAAGTAATATATTTCTTCAAAATAATTAATATAATAATTGATTAATTATTTTGATAAATAATGAAAGAAAAAATGTATTTGTGTCTTGAATTTAGTTGGCTTCATCCAATTATAATTCCTTTTATGTTCTAAAATGTTGTTAGTTTCCTTTCCATTTAGCATATTCAATGACAATCAATATAAAACAAGATCAAACGCTTGATAGGGTTTGGTGTATATCTTAAAAATTTGTGTTTCTCTCATGGCCAACTATGTTGAGTGTTCAAGAATAAAAAAATTTAACAGTTTGTTTTTTAAAGGTGATGAACATCCAATAGAAAGTATAGAAGGTGAAAAATGTTGCACTATGGTCTGCTTAAAATATACAGGTTTACATTCTGGATTTTTTAGAAAAAATAGAAAGTCATTTGTATATTTATATTTATATTCACAAAAACATCTTTATCATATTTACAATTAGACTTCTAAAATCGTTTTGGTTTATTATAGTTGTATTATTTAATGTTAACATGCAGTAGTGGTGCAGAGATAGAGTGCTTGCTTTAAAAGCAAGAAATTCCTAGTTCAATCCCTACCACGTCCCTGGCAGTACTGTGCCCAACATGTTTCTCTGCACAATAGTCTTTTTCATATGGGTTTATGTATTGGAGTTATAGAGTTGGGAAAGGATTCTAACCACAATTAACATAGCCTCCTTAACTGTAATGGCCTTCTTGGCTTTGGGGAGGTGAATTGACATTTAAAAAAATACACAACATATAGATAAAGCAGAAGTATTTCCATTTTGACTTGATCATCACAGATTAATCAAAATAACTGGTTTCTTAGAAATTTAAATCTTAAAGCTGGGTTCTACAATAACACTCAAATGAAAGTTTGCAATTTTCAAAATAATTTTATTGATGCTGAGGTTTTGACAGATTTTAATGTCCAACAGACTTAATGTTATTAAACATCTATCTATTTTGGATTATTTTCAAAGTATATTTAGGAAATAGAGACAAGCTTTTTTTAGAACTTGTGTTTTTTTATTTAAAAAAAAAATCACTTTTGTTGTTATATTTTGTAAAAGGCTATAAAATTAATTTACACATCTGATACTATTATTAGAAATATTATTATTAGAGGAAAATCCATGCATTGTTATTGTTATTGTAAAAAGATAACTAATAAACTGATGTTATTAAAAAGATTAGAGAGTGAAGATTCTGATATACACAACATCATTGTTATATCTCTATACACAACATATATCAGATACAAAATATAAGACTTTTACATAAAAACATCTGAAACGCCTTGAGCTCTCTTGAAAAACTAAACCCAAGCTATAAAAATTATTTGATTATTGTGATAAAAATGGGCTATAATATTTAATAAATACTAAATACTTGTAAAAAAACACTTTAACAAAATGTATACCTTGAGATCCTCCAAAGAGTCCAAATACCATTGAAACAAGACTCAATATTGTTGAAAGTGCAGCTCCCATTGGGCCTGCTAAACTAGCCAATGTCCCGACAATACTGAGACCACCAAGAAGCATATCTTGCCAACTTCCACTACTTATGCCACCAACAAGCTGAGTTAAACCATCTCCTACACCACTTATACCTTCTATAATTACAAAAATTTTAAATATATATTAAACATCTGTTTAAACAATTTGATACATTTTGGTTCATTTGAATAACATTTGGGACCACAATTATTTATGACATCTTACCTAAATATAAAGTTATCTCACCTGCAATTTTGTCATTATTTCCAAACTTTACTATAGCTTCCTTTGCTTTTCCAGCACTTGCTTTGAAGCTTTCTTTCTTTTTTTCATACTTTGAGCCTCCTTTTGGATTTAATAAATTAGATTTCTATAATTCAAATAAAAACATTAAAAATAATTACAAAAAATAAAATTAAATTTTGTCAAAACAAATTAAAAAATTGTTGTCCATAAAACATTGATAAAGCCAGTTACCTACAGTTTTTACAAGTCACAAGTGTGTCACAGTTACCAGTGTGTTAACCAGCCCAATGGCACAGCATCTACAGCAACAAATTCTTAAAATTCAATGACCTTTTTTTTTTTTTTTTTTCTGAAGTAATAGGACAATTTTAATAAAATTGACAATATTTTGTAAAATAATAACAATAAATATTCCCAATATTGCAAAATCTCGATAAAAAATATATTCCTGGCTAACACACTGGTTACCTAAAGTAGTCTACAAGTCTCAAGCATGTCACAGTTACCTACAATTGTTTATAAGTTTCAGGTATATCACAATTACCTACAGCTGTCTGCAGTTACCTTAATACTATTTTTAGATTTATTTAATTAAAAAAACATTTCTGATTCATTTTTTATATGTTTTCATTAACTTAATTCATTATTAACTAACTTTTATTAACATAAATAAAATCAATAATTTTGACAAACCTATTTGCATAAATTTGATACAAAATAGAAAAAATAAAGATATAAAACACCTTATATGTAAATAATAACCAGAACCTTATATAAAAATTTAACATTTTTTCAAGCTTGACTATTTTTTTGAAAATAAGAGATCAATTTGGATGTGACTTAGTTGCATGATAAGCATTCTAAGATTGAGTTTTGGTTAATCTTTTGATCATCAAACTTTTATCACAAACAAGTAATAAAATACTATGGTTGCTTGCATGAGCAGCAACCATGATAGTATTTGTAGAAAAGATAAAAAGAATGCAATCTTACAACCATGGACATAGGCTTAGGTTTAGCAGCTAGGGCAGATCTAATAATATTTACAAAGTGTTTTTGTCTAATTAAAAGAACCAACCCAAAATTGAAAACAGAATTCTATGCAAGGACAAATAAAAGATTTATAGATGTATAGAGATCGGATTCAAGAGCTACTTGTTCTGAGAAATAAAAAAGTAATAACTTTTTAGAAAGACGGAAATAAACAAATGTTTTATCAGTAAATAGATATGTTATCAGTAAATAGATATGCCATCAGTAAATAGATGTGTCATCAGTAAACAGATATTTCAGTAAATAGATGTGTCATCAGTAAATAGATAGGCTATCGTTAAATAGGTATGTCATCAGTAAATAGAGCTAGAGTGCAAGACATTTGAGGCAATTAAAAATAAGATTTTCTATTCAATAGTTGATTCAAGAGTTGCTTGTTCTATTAAATAGAGACATGATAGCATTTCAGAAAGACAGGAGTAAACAGATATGTAATGAGTAAACACAACCATTTTAGGGGTTATCAAGAAGATTATTAATATAGGTAAAAAACAACACAGGACTGCAGAAGGAGAGCATTGTCCATCAATAATAACTTTATTTTAAGAAACTTTACTAGATACAACATATAAGACAAGCTTATAGAAAAGAACAGCATGCCAGACTTTAATATATCAAGGCTAATAGCCCTCACTTTGCTACTTTCAACTAATGTATGATAAAACCTTTCTCTTGCTTTCTTGCTAACTGTTTACCATTAACAAGTAAGCATTAGAATGGGAAAATTGAAGTCCCTATTGATTGTCAGAAAGTAAATTGTTAGTCTCAAGATGTTATCAAGAAAAGCTTAAGATACTATTAGCCTGAAAATGAAATGTTTGAAGACTTAGCAAATAATAGTAAGAAAACAGATTAGATGATATTTGAAGGAGTCTTTGCAGTCTATTATATTATAATAGCTTATCTATTATATCAATTGTAAAAAAGATAAAATTTTCACTAAAGAGATCCAAAACCTCTGAGACATGTTGTGTTCATATTAAAGAGAATGATAAAAAAAAAATGTTTAGGCTAAATTTTTTAAATTAAAACAAAAGAAAAAATGCACACCAAGAAAAACAATTTTTTTTATTTTACTCGAAGATTGGCTTCTCCGTTTTGTTGCAGGCCGTAAAGTCAACATAATATATGTCGTAATATACAGACTTTATATTATATTCAAGTGCTGAGAGTTTAAGTACATGACATCATCGACTTTTTTGTTTGTTTACATAATTGATATTTTGAATAAACAAAAAAAAAATCAATGACGTCATGTACTTAAACTCTTAGGAATAAAATCTGTAGATTATGGCGGACTTTTTGGTCTACAACAAAACGGAGAAGACAAGCTTTGACTAAAAAAAAAAAATTAGTTTTTCTTGGTGTGCATTTATTCTTTTGTTTTAGTCAAACAAAATTACCCCTAATTCATGTTATTTTATCAGATCTAAGATCTCTAAGATGTGTGGTCGCTCAGTGGAAGTGCAGATATGTTGAACTATTTTTATAACATATTCATTTATTTTTTATGTCTATTTTTCATGTACTTGCCAAATTTCATAGAAAAATAAAGACGTTCTTGTGCACTATTTTCTTACTTGGAGGTGCCTCGTTTTCTTTTTGTTGTTTAGCAGAGAGTATATTTGTTGTTTAGGAGAGAGTGTGGCTCAAAATGTGGCTTTGAAGTTTCAAAAAACAGAGACAAGACATCATGTCATTTTAATAGGAATATGTAAGAGAAAATCTGTCCAGAGCTCGTTTCTAACCACTGCGCCACGGCCAAATTGTGTGATTTCAGCTTATGATAATTAGACTTAGGAAGGGTTTTCCTCAGATTTCAAAATCATTTTTTTTGAAAGTTTTATCTACACTTTTCTAATATAAAAAGAAACTTAGGATGCAGTTGATTCAAAGTTAGTTTAAAAATCACAAAATCACGATAATGATGTTACGAGTATTTAAAAATTAAAAGTTTGACCGACCATAACTTAAGAACTAAAGATATTTAGAAAAAAAATTTACAAACATTTTTTTTACACTTTTAGTACTACTATATAAAAAAAATTTGAATATTCAATCGTTGAGAGGTCTGGAGATTAAGTTGAAATTCGATCAGCACTTTTTGGTGCAATTCTTTTTCATATCTTTAATGCTTGACTACTACTATTTATATATCAATTTTGTTTTATTGACATGTATGCAGGCATAAATATTGGTAATTATGAGTTATTTTGAAGTTTGTTTTAGATTTTTCAAAATGGTTATTTATACGCCTTGGGCCAGCAGACGTTATTTTTTTTTAAATTAGAATTTTTTACTAGTTGTTAAATATTTGGAGATCTAATTGTGCTACAGACTTAGAATATAGCGTATTTTTATAGTTAATCATGTCTATTGTGATGTGAAGAAAAAATCGGGAGGCTGAATAAGCGCGTATTGGCATGTGTGCGAACTGGCAAAAGCGCGTCGCGTTGCAAAAACTGGAATATGTGCGAACTTGCATATGTGCATATTGGCAAAAGTGCGCCAAAAGAATTTGCAAACATCTGCATAAGTGCGAATTAGCATAAGTGCGAACTAGTATAAGTGCGAAGCCGTTACAAAAATTGGTAGTAGTGCGAACTAGCATAACTGCAAATTGGCATAAGTGCGCCAAAAAAAATTACAAATATTGGCATTAGTACTTATGCCAATATTTACTTATAAGTACTTAGTAAATTAGTATTTTGCACTTTTGCTAATTCGCACTTATCCCAGTTTGCACTTATGCCAATGTTTACAAATTTATTCGGTGCACTTATACCAGTTCGAATTTATGCCGATTCGCACTTATGCCAGTTTTTGTAACCGCTTCACACTTATACTAGTTCGCACTTATGCTAATGTTTTCAAATTTGTACGGCCAATTTGCACCTATGCCAGTTCGCACTTTAGCCACTTTCTGTAATTGCTTCGCACTTATGCCAGTTCGCACTTATGTTTGCAAATTTGTTTGGCGCACTCATGCTAATATGTAATTATGCCAGTTCGCACTTGTGCCAGTTTTCGCAACTGCTTTGCACTTATACCAGTTTGCATTTATGACAGTTTGCACTTATCCCGATGTTTGCAAAATCTTTTGGCGCACTTATGCCAGTTTGGTCTTGTGTCAGTTTTTGTAACTGCTTCGCACTTCTGCCAATTCGCACTTCTGCCAATTCGCACTTCTGCCAATTCGCACTTCTGCCAATTCGCACTTCTGCCAGTTTGCACTTACGCCATTCGCACATATTCCAGTTCACACTTATGAAATTCGCGCTAATACATTTGTCCCGAAAAAATCTCTGTTGAATCACATTACGCAAAAATATTATTTAGAGCACGAAATATTGAATTCTAAAAAACATTATCCAAGCTTTATAAGAATATGTAAAAATTTATTATTGAATATCTTTTTTTTAAATTGTTTATTTGAATTAATCTTGTTTTAAAATTGCACAATTAAAATTAAATTTGCATATCTTGTTTTAAAAACTTGTTGAGGAACGAGACTATACCTAACTAAAACGCAATTAATTTTATTTTTTTTATTCTTTTATTCAGTTTTATTTTATAACAAAAATAAAAACCCAGTATGTAATTGGAATCCTGACAGAAAATGAAAATGTTGAACATCAAAATCAAACTATAAAGAAAAGAGAAAGTAGTCGTGGAAAGGAATATTTCTTAGTCGGTAAGACAGCGAAGATGTCCTTATTTAAGTTTCTGATCCGGACTGATTTTATTAGGACTTCCTCAACTAAGTAGCAGCTTTAGGTAACATTACATTTTTTTTTTAAACTAATTTAATAAATCAAGTATGCTTTTCATATTTCAAGTTTAAGAAATGTGTTTTTTAATTTTATTATCTTGGTAGAAAATTTTATTCTCTTGATAAAAATTTTTTATTATTTTAGTAGAAAATTAAATAAAAAAATAGCTGGGCAAATTGTTGAGTAATTACGAAAAAATCAATGTAAAAAATTCAGCTTGTTGCACTGTACAGCGGAAGAAGGGTTAAGGGCTTTGGCCTCAGTTCATACATCAACAATTTAAGGAAAACATGCAAAGGAGTACTGCTGTATTGACTGAAGATTTGGGTTGTGACAGCAATATCATTAAGGTTACGAGACTTCTCCTAACCGTATTGATACTCCACCTAATTTTACCCGTTGTAAATGTCTGAACTTCCGCATTTTACCTGTGTCTGTAAGGATATACGAAACATTATGCGCACACTTTAAAAATATAAATGATCATATTATGATATACAATAGTAAGATTGAAAAAACATTTCAAAGTATTTCTACATACTAATTGAAACTAGACGAGAAAATAAAAGTTTAAAAATTGAAAATCAGAAAACAGGTAAAAAAAAAAAAAAAAAGTATCAACAGCCAAATTTAAAAAATAAATGTAATCACTTTGCAACCTTTACCAGATCATCACTAAAGTGTATTTTTTACTACCTTACTAATGTTGTTTATTGGTCTCGAGACGGCATTGAACCAAAAACTTATGTTCTGAGCCAAAACTCTAACCATTGCGCCTGCGCATATGCTCTATCAGATCATCATTTAAGCTTCTACCAGAGCATTTTCTTTGACGTTAATTTCAGATTTTGATGTTAATTCCATCAAATTTGACATTAATTTCAGATTTTGATGTTAATTTCATCAACTATGACGTTAATTTCAGGTAATTTGATTTCAGGTGCAGCCAAGTTATCATTTTTAACCCAGGTTTTTGCCGCCATAAAATTATATAAATGTTTTACCCCCTATAAAATGGCGATAGTTTTATTTTAATGACCTATTCTTTTTATCTGTTTTTATTAGTTTTAACAGATGAACTTGCTTTATAAATAAAACAATTTTTAAGCTATCTTCAATACTTTAGAAACATCTGATTCGTAATTCGTATCCATAGTTCATAATATTCAATTAATAAAAATGTATATATATATATTATATATATATATATATATATATATATATATATATATATATATATATATATATATATATATATATTTTATCCTTATATTTGCCGTACATATAACATTTACAAGTTTCGTAAAGTAAAGGTGTAATATTTAAAAGTCTCGTGAGTCAAAATATATAGTGAAATTTATAATTAGATAGTACGGGCCGGACTTTAAGAAAATTTTAATGATCTTATCACGAAGCCCTTACAATGTGTTTGATATATATTATAATTATGTTAAATATAATTATATATTAAGTACAACTATATTTTTATAGTCTTTAAATTAAATTAAGCTCATAATAAAAAATAAACTCAAAATAAGCTCAGCATAAAAAATTAAGCATAACAAGCAGCATAATAACTAAAATTGAAAAGAAAAAATCAAGTGTTTTTTTTTGTGTGTGTGTGTGTGTGTGTAATAAACAGTTTTTGATATATTGTTTGAGAAAGGTAAGAGTCATTTAGATAATACACATAAATGAGTCAGTTCACTTTGTAGTTGATATATATATGTAATTTAATTTATAGTCTTAGAACAATTCAGAGGATCTGTTTAGACTCAGTATCAGATTTTTTAACTTTGTTTTCAAGGAATTTTGATTATCTAGATTGCAAATTGATTTATTTTTAGTAACTAGTTTGTTGTATAAATAAGGACCCCGATATGAAATTGTTTTTTTGGAAGGTGTAATAAAGTTTCTTGTTTCTCTTGTGTTATACTTATTAACGTTAATTATATAAAAGTTATTTAAAAAATTGTTTGGTACTTGACCTAATTTAAATTTTAGCATAAACAATATATTTTGGTAAATGTTAAATTGATAAATGTTAAGCACATTTATTTCTTTAAATAAGGGTTCAGCGTGTGTAAATTTGTCCTTATGGTAGATTAGTCTTACGGCATGTTTCTAACGTCGATATAAAGTTTTCAATTTGGTTATATGCGTACTCGCCCAAGCCTTGTATCGTCTGCAAACATTATAAATTCAAGTTTGCTAGAAACTATTGGAAGGTTGTTTATATATATAGGAACAAAAGAGGAGCATCTAATCGAACCTTGAGGAACACCGCAAGTTAGTTTTAATAATTTAGTGTAGTAATTGTCATCTGTAATAACACACTGTTGTCTGTTACACAGGTAACTTTTAAACCACTGCAGTGTATGGTTTTTTAATCTGCATTTTTCCAACTTTTGATGAGGTCTACGATAACATGCTCTGTCGAGTGCTGAGTTTAAAAACCATATTGGTTTTCATTCAGGATTTTGATTGTGGTTAGGTATTTATATAAAAGATTGTAGATTATTCGTTCGAGTAGTTTTTAAAATACGGGAAGAATTGATATTGGTCTGTAATTATTTAAGGAGAATGTATCTCCAGATTTATAGATAGGAATAGTTTTAGCTATTTTTAAATAGTCAAGTACAATCCCTGTAATTATTGAAGAATTAAATATTTGAAAAATGGGTTTACTTATTTCTGGGAAGACATTATATTGGCTGGAATATTGTCGATACCTGGACCTTTGTTAATTTTTAATGTTTTAATTGCTGTTTCAAGTTCTTTGTATTCTAGTTCTTTAAAAACTAGAGAGGAACGAGAGTCCTCAATGTAATTCTCAAATGAATTTTTTGCAGGTTGAATTTTAGAGCCGAGTTTGGAACCTATACTTGCAAAATATTTGTTAAATTTTTCAGAGATAATTTTTTTATTATAGAACTCTTTTTCACTTATGAGAACTTTTGGAGCTAGATGGTTCCAGTTTAGTTTATTTTTACCAACTATTTCTTTTATAATATCCCAGATTTTTTATATATCTCCTTTAAATTTTTGATTTTGCTTTCAAAATTATAGTTTTTTGGATTTTAATTTTATTTTTTCAAATAGATTTTTATATTGTTTATAGTTAGACAAATTAATATTGTTTCTATTTTTTAGATATTTTATGTAGAGTTTTTGTTTTTGTTTTGACGATTTTCTTATTCCTTTGGTAATCCATGGAGTGGTTAGGTATTTTGTTTTAATTTCTTTTTCGACCTTTGGAAAATGTTTATTGAAAAGATTTAGGAAAATATCTATAAACTTATTGTAAGCCGAGTTTGTGCGTCCGAGGTTACATTCATGATATATTTTTAACCAATTTACTACCGCTAGTGAGCTTTTTAGTTTTTGGGTCGAAAATTTATTTATGCTTCTTTTGATGATTTTTATTTTCAAGTTATTGATAGTGTTGCTTGCTGTGATAGTAAGAAGTAAATTGGGAAGTGGTCAGATACATCTGTTTTAATTAATCCTACTTTTAAGGATGGATCTTGAATTGAATTTGTCAATATATTGTCAATAGCTGTAATTGAGAAGGGAATTACCCGGGTGGGTTTATTTATAATTGGGAAAATGTAATGTTGTATCATATGATCGAAAAAAAAATTGGCATTTGCGTGTTCATGACAACTTAGGTAATTTATGTTCATGTCACCAATATAGAATAGCTTTTTATGTTCAACATTGCTTTTTAAATATTTTTGTTTCATAAAATTTAAAAGCGTTATAATATCTCCATTAGGTGGTTTATAACAAAAGAATATTAAGAGATTTTTTGTAGTATCATTAATGACTTAAAATTAATGATAAAAAAGTATACAATAAAAAAGCCCTCGAATTTGCGAGGTCAAAAAAATTTGAATTAGATTAAAATGAAGTTTTGATAAAAACATGGAACGTTAAAATCGTTGCAAAGAAAATTCATTAATTTATTGCTAAAATAAAAAAAAAACGATATCAATTACTTTTGTTATAACAAATATGTTCAAAAACTTTGTATATATGATGAAAAAAATTGCTACACTAGATAAAAAAATCAAGGGAACTTTTACAATTCTATACATTATTTTTTTTATAAGCAAGCAAAAATTGTTAAATTTATAATTTTATCAATTTATAATGAGTGTTAACGAAAAGATAATGAGTAATTACCTCAATTATTGCATCAGCAAAATTTGGAGACGAAATCTTTGGTGCTTCTTTTGCGTTTGCGGTATAGATGACAAGCCAACAAAATATAACTATGTATAACCGAAATGCCATCTGTTTTATATTTTTTCTGTATAATAAAAATAAAAATATAAATTTTCTGTAAAAAATATAAATTATAATTTTTCTTAAAAAAATAAGAGTAATTAGTTTTTAGTTTTTTCGGAAAAGAAAAATAACAAGTTTATGTTTTTTCAATTTGAATCTCTTCCTATATTTGATTAATCTAGTTTTTACTGCTGCTAGAACAAAAAAAAAACTCTACTTAGTTTCTAAAATTTGTTGCATACAATATGGTTCTAAAACCGTAATTGGTACTTTTAAAAATGCAATTGCTACCAAATGAAAAGAAAATTTTTCAGCAGAAACCACTGTTTAACCACTGTTATAAATTCAAAAAGTTAAGAAATAATGTTTCCGCACTTAAACTTTCCATATTTAAAATCAAAGTTGACTCGTGTTAAATAATATTTCAACACGGCAATGCAACTTTTTACATATCGCTATAAATGTGAATTTATTTAATTTTTTTGCAATCATGAATTTTAAATCCCTCCATTAAGAAAGACTAAAAAAAATATGGTTGTACTAAAACTAAGCTTGTTGCCATTATCGTTGCATAATCCGCAACATGTTTAAGACGAATTTATGTAAAATGTTATCTAGTGTTGGTATAACAACCTTAGAATTAGACGTAAAAGATTACAGTCAACCTAAGAAAAAATTCGGAAAAGAAAAATATAGGGATTGGCCACAAACTACGTCACGCAAATGCAGGAGGGGGGGGGAGGAGAAGTTAGCGATTTTGCGACGATAGGCGGAGTGGAGGATAATCAATTTTGTAATGTAAACTTTTTTTTTAAGTTTCAAATCTAGAAAATATTTTCTATTGATTAAAATCAAGTATCAAGCCTAAAGTATAAACCCTCAGTTAATGTACACTTGACTGAGGCTGTTTTAACTTAGCACAAGTTGGAATTGATTTATCAAACTGATTTAATTTTTTTTTGAATTTACTTTTATAAATTGAATTCAAAAAGCGGACATTAATTGACTAAAATTAAATTCAAATTATAAATTGAATACAATTTTAGTCAATTAATGTCCGCTACGTCTGCGGCTTTATGAGTCAATTATATAGCCAATATATCCTTGATGAAAAGATAATTAATTATAATTTGAAATAAAAATAATAATATAATAATTATTAAACAACAATAATAGGTCAACGAAATTTTATTTTTTTACTTTTTTTTGCATACAACATTTTTCTTATAGAATTCTTTATTCTTATTCTAAATATGCAATCCTTTTTCTTCTATCGCATCAAGTTTTAAAGATATTAGGGTTTAATTCCCAAATATTTAGAGGTAAAATCTCTGATATAGTCAAAATAAAACTTTTTCAAAAGTTATGTTAATAACTTGATCTCAAAAAAACGTTTTATTGGTAAAAAAACATTTTTTTTAGGTTGTTTTGATAATCTTATTTGTTCTATATTTTTATGCCAATAAATTTTAAATAAAAATGTTTATATATTTTTAAAATCTCTTTAAAAAATCTATATTTTCTATATTTTACTTTAGAAGTCTTATTATAGTATAGCTAATTTTAACTTGCTATATAAAATGATTATTTATTTTTTTGTTGAAAAAACTTGTAAAGCTAATCTTTTAAATTTCTTTACTTTATTTATCTTAATTAATTATATAGTTAATATAAATTATTATATTTTATATATTATGGATACTTTGTAAAAAATATATCACGCAAATTGTAGGGGCTTGATGACAAGACTTATGTCTTCTACTTGCTCCTGTCATTCTTTATCACGTCACGGTAAGGAAGAAGGTGTGAACTTCCTGGTTAAACAAACTTCTGCGGTTAAGGGTGTTATTTTTCTATTTAGTCACTGTTAGCTTACATCGAACTACAGCAAAAAAGAATATATGTAGGGGAGAGTGGTACTGAGTGGGCACAAAATTCAACTTTTTTATAAAAACAATTTTTCCCATATTGTCAGCAACTATGGCGGATATATTAATTCAGAAGCCAAGATCAATATCTTAACTAACAATTCTTAAAAGTTGTAAGCCATCGCACTAACAGAACATAGTTAAAATGTGCGATAAATGTGACCCATATCAAATTTTTTAGTGGTTCATTCAGTACTGTTCGTTGTACTGAATGGACCAACCCTTGTACTGAATGGACCATAAAGTAATTCTTTTTTATAAAAAAGATCAATATCTATATCGTCAATAACTATGGCAGATATATTAATTCAGGAGAGAAGATTAATAACTTAACTAACTATCCTAATATTTTGCATACTTTATTGAAAGTTGTAAGCCATTGCACATAGCAAGTTACATTATGTAAAGCAATTAGGGTGATAAATGAAGTTTAAAAACAAAAAAGCAGTATGTTGAGACATTATTGATATTTCTGTATTAATTAATACAATTTCCGACCGAAGTCTCAACCAGATGGTCAAATTAAAATAATAACAAATTTTTTTTGTATTGTTTGCACTTGTGCAAGCTTTATGTGCCCAGCTCGCACACTGTCTGCAACGGTACCAGACTTCATTGTCACGACCCATTTCTTCACATATAGCGCACAAATCATTATTTGATGTAATACCTCTACAAATATTTAAAAAATCTTTAACACCATTATCATTTCTTTCAACAAGAATTGTTGTTCAACGCATTTAGAAGCCATTTTGTTTTTAATGTTCTTATTACTTATCAACAACGTCAACGTTTTTACAAAAAAATTGTTCGCTATATATAGCATTTAAAAATACAACTTGTGACTCTTGTCAACAATTAATGGTCGTTATACGAAACTTTATAAGAATAAAAATATGCAACGTGTGAATTTTGTCAATAATTAGCTTTGCTATTTATTGACAAATTAATGACTCACATTAAAATCACAAAATCTCCCCCAGCTCAACAAGAGCTCATAGATAATCGTGAATTAGGAATTACTCTTCTTTCATAGCGAGTGAACCGAACAGGCTGTAACTCTGTCTTAAATAGTTTTGATCAGCGCGGTGCATATTATTGATCAGCGCGGTCAACTTGGCGGTCGTCTAGGGAATTTATTTGAGAACTAGGATCATTAATTCCGACGAGTTTTAAGTTCGTTTTGGGAGGTTAAACCAGTGTCAGATTGTAACCGTCATCAGTTATATCTTCTTCGTTTTTGTCTACACGACAATGGTGCAGATGAGAAAAATATTGGGCAGCGTATGTTCTTTGACTTCAACTTCAGCTGTTAAACCATTATACAGTATCACTATACTTCTTTTTAACCATCGCTGTGAGCACAGCGTCATATGCTTGGATTTCACCCACACTTTATCGCCGATTTTTCATCCATGAAACTTATTTAGGGACTTTTGTGGTGATTCAACTTTTCAACGATTCCAGGAATTGGGACTCGTTTGTATTGTTAGCAAAAGATTTCAAAAAGTGTGTCGTATTTTGTTGGTACGTTGTTAATTAAGAAGACAGACATGGGTTTACCAAATTTTGCTCTCGCATTTGTTCTTTTTACCGTCCGATGAATTCTTTCAACAATTCCATTTCCCGATGGTTTTTCAACAGCTCGATAAATAAGTCTTATTTCCTACTTCAACGCCATAGCTTACATAGTCTGAGATCGAAACAACTTAGAATTATCTAGAAGAACTTCAGAAGGAGGTCCAAGCAATAATCACATTGTTTCTAACGATTGAAAAACCATTGTTGCACTTTTGTCGCTTAATGGTGTCCAAAAACGTGTATCTGCTTGATTAAACGTGTATCCACAATCGATACAGGTAAAATATAGCAACAAATCAACGTGAGCAACATCGCAGGCTACTCTTTCCCACACTTTGCTAACAGCAAGATTTCCTTTATCCCACAAAATTACATTAGGATCACTTGAATTGCATTCATTACATTTAGCGACAACTTGTTTCACTGTGTTTCTGTTAAAGTGAATACCAGCACGCGAGCATAACTTCATATTCTTAGAAACTCTTATGTGTGTTATTGAGTGAACTTTTTTAATCTGCTGATTATCATGCTTATAGATGATATTATATTCTTGCGTCGTAACTTCGTTTTTTATGCATTTTGTTGGCATTCGTGTGAGTTCATCTGCGATACTTTTTATTGTTGGTACCCATGTAATATCTACACTTATGGCATAATCCTCGACCAAATTTCCAAATATTTAAAGCCTTTATCATATAAGCATTTCACATTGCCCAGCACATTTTACAGGTTTGTCTCGAGTCAATTCAGAATTTAACCAACTGAATACACTATGAGAATCAGTTTTTGATAGAGACATAACTTCCGTTTTATTTTAATACCATATTGAGACCTCTAATACATGCATTCGATTCAGGCAAGTTGAGATGCATTGCATCAGAATTTGGTCGAAGCTAAGTCACATCTTCTATTTTTTTTTTTCACCTTGCTAGCTTGCATCACACTATAAAGTTAGAGATGCATTAGGTTTAACATTCCATACGCTTTTTACTGAATTGCATTTGTTTATTCACAACTTCCTGCATCATTTCATTAACGTACTTATTCGTAATAGATTCATCCCAGCCTGCTTCGTTTGTACATTTCTTTATAAAGCTGCATGCGAATTTCAACCATTTAGCAACTGGTAGATTAGGAACCAGATTACCACATAATGAGAATATCTCCCGCTCAGTGAGCACATTTTTAATAATGGGAATCTTGCGTCCTCTCTTCCAAAACATTTCCTTTGTAGATAGATTTAATGTTACTTCCAATCCTAGTGAACGAACTGTTTCTTTTCCAAAATATTCAGGTGTTTTTACGTGAAGACCCTATTTCCTCAGATTTGCCACCAGCTATCTTCCGTTTCCACTGGTTGTTAAGGTGTCATCAATGTATCCTCTTGTTGCTTTTGTAAGTGCAGAATTTTGTTGGAGAACATATTGTAGTCTTGAGCTCATCATCACAGGTGCTAGGCTCAAACTAAAGCCCAAACGTTTAAGCGCATATTGTTGATCTTTGTAAATTACAGTTTGGTAAGGCCA